CTTGGTTAGAAAATATTAGGAATGACCTTTCTTTATTAGATTTAAACGAGAATTTGGCTTTTAATAGGACACAATGGAGAAAAAGGATTCATGTAGCCGACCCCACGTAGTGGGATAAAGGCTTGATGTTGTTGTTGTTGTTGTTGTTGTTGTAGAGATGAGGATGCTCAGGTGGATGAGTGACTTTATTCTTAGAGATAATGTGAAACGAGCATATACGTGAAAAAGGTTGGAGTAGCTCTAGTGGCAAATAAGATTAGAGAGAGTTGCCTTAGATGGTTTGGTTATATAAACCGTCGGCCTTCCGATGACCCGGTTAGGAGAGTAGTGTATTAGATTTAGCCTATATTAAGAAAAGTAGCATGTAGACCTAAAAAGTTTGGTTAGAAAACATTAGAGATGACTTTTTTTATTAGATTTAAATGAGAATTTGACTTTTAACATATTACAACGGAGAAAAAGGATTAATGCAGCCGACCCCATGTAGTGGGATAAAGGCTTGATATTGTTGTTTGTTTGTTGTTGTAATGTAGACACATGCTGTCTTTTGAAAATATTGGAACCTGGTTTCCATATTGTGCTAATGCACAAGATAACTCTGTATGTATTAATATAATCATCGTTGGTATTTGATTTGAAGTGATACATATAGTAAGGTAAGAAGCATCTGTTAGTAACATATGTGAAAAGCACTTTTCAACTTTTGTTATTCTAGGTGAAGGTGATTTTTGGCATTGTAAACTAATGCTTAGAATGAGTTTAATCAACTTAAAAAATTACTGAATCAATCACTATGAATTATAAGGTTTTGATTGAAAAAGGTGGGTCAACCTTTCTCATTAAAATAGCAATACAAGTTACATAATAGTGAATTGAAAAGAAAAAGAATTACAGAAAAGTAAAATAAAAAACTAAGAAAAAGTAAAAAAAACAAATAATAAAAAGGCTCTTTACCTAAAAGATTCTACCCTTTATTTTTTCCAGATGATCCAAATAATTTCTGAAAAGAAGACATTCCAAAGGTCAGCCAAGCCATCATGATATGTTGACCCCTAATGATGTAAGAACTGAATGGATGCTTCTTATTGGGTTAGGGTAAGGAATACCGATAGTTTATATAATCTTCTCCGAACACTACTTTTTTTTTTTGAAAGAAAAAAAAAAAAGTAAAGGTGAACGTTGTTTGACAACATTTTCATATAAATCATCCAAACATTAATATAGATCTCGGTATAAATAGTTGGATTCGAGATCCATGAATGCAAGAAGCGGTGATGCTCCCATTCATCTAGAACTTGTACATTAAAGTTAACATTTGAAGCAACCAATAAAGGGTAACTTTTGGATTTGATCAGTGATCCATTTCTTAGGATTAAGAAAATTAACATCAACAATATGTGAATAAGAATATTTCTATTTTTGTTGGATATGCCTTCCCAAAGCATCAATATTTTGGGTTATTAATTTATTAATTTATTTTAGAATGCAACTAATGAAATGTTAACTGATTATGTGAGAAAGAAAAAAATTATAAATGAAGAAGATTTTGAAGATGTTGACATAAATTATGAGGATTCTTCTGAAAGCTGTCAAAGTGACGATGAAACTGCCTTAGGTCTTCATCTTAAGGGCGTGTTTAAGGTTTGAGTGAATTTTTATTTTGAATATTGTGTTGCAATAACATTTACCTTCACACAAATCATTATGTTTATAATTTACTTAATATTTTGTTATTTTTATGAGTTATTTATAATTTTTTTAGTACTTTAATTTTCCCATTTTGAGGCTTACACCTCAAATCCTTATTTCGCCTTTTAAACATATATATATATATATATATATATATGGAAAAGTTCTGCCTCCACCTGATAGGGATCCTGCTTAAGCTACTTGTGTATTTGGGGGAATTATTATGTTCGGTCACCTGACAGAGAAATACATCCGGATTTCTCTCTATCTATAGTAAAGCACAGTTACTGTAGCAGCTGCGCTTTGACTGTAGACAGAGAGAAATCCGGATTTATCTCTCTGTCAGGTGACCGGACCTAATAATTTTCCGTGTGTTTGGGGCTGATTCTTCATGGGGACTTTTAAGAAAGGAAAGCACTTTTTTTCTTAGATCTTGATGAAGCCTCACCCTTAATTCCCATACCAAGAAGTGACGTGAAAATTAGAATGAGAAGGGAGAAAAGTAGAAAATGTGAAATTTCATTATAAATTTTATTCTATTGTTCAAATGTAAGTTGTACATAAATATGTGATAAACATCCATCTTGGAAAGAAATAAATGAAATAAATTTAGAAATCAGTCTTTAATTCTAAAATTTAGAAATCACCACTTCATAGAAATGAAATCATGTTGTCATATTTGCTAGATTGTTATAAATGAAAAATTCTTGTTCATGGATTACTAGATTACTATTTACTATAGATGAAATGATGCGACAAAATTTTGACTTATTGAAGATGGAAAGATAATGGACACAAATTTAAGATTATATTAACACCTCTCTTCATGCGGGGTTTTATATATTGATCATGTACAACTTATTTATTATATTATATTATCTATGCTCATTATGGGTAAAGCCTTGGTGAGAATATCTATTATTTGAGAGTTTATTGGAACATAATTGAGTCGGGCAAGCCCATTTTGTTTTTTTCTTAGATGAATGTTGGTCTATCTCAATTTGTTTAGTTGTCATGGTGGATTGATATTTTGTAATGCATATGGCAGTTGTGTTGTCACCATATAATTTTAGAGATTTTTTTTATTTGTTAATTTAGTTCTAAATATTTTTTTTAGTCACATTCCTTCACAAATATCAGATATCATTGCCCTGCTTTTAACTTCAACAATGCTTCTTGAGACCATAAATTGTTTCTTAGTTTTCTATGTAACTTGTTTTTCCCATATATGAGGACATTACTTAAGGGGGTTCTTCGATCTGATGTATTTCTTCAATTATCATTTGTGAAAATTTTTTGATGTGTCTTTTCAATTATCATTACTTAAGGAGGACATTACTTAGGCTTCAAGAGCTTCATGTTTTTTATTTTTGGAATCTGCATTTTCTCAAGAGAATGACAAAAGTTATGTTGCACCGATACGGATACGGCGACATGGATATGACACGATACGGGACATGTCAATTCTTAAAAATACAGGATACATGTACGGCACGAACACGTCATTATAATTTATAAATCATAAATAAAAATTAAAAAAAAAAACAATCAAAGCATAATATTTGAAATGACCAAAAAATGAAAGCAACATCATTTGTAGCCTTATATCTTATAATATCAAAATAAAAGTAAGCATTGTGTCAAGGGAAGAGTTAAAACTCATTGCCTAATAAGAATTTTGTGGCATGATTCCACTAATTATGTTGTTGCATGATTTGGTGACATGTTTACTGAATAACATATGAGAGCTAAACTTCTTTTTTTTCTCCATTTAAGAAGACATACAAACCACAATAACATGATTTTTTAATACATGAATAAAAAATCAAAGCATTACAAATGCAAAATAATTGATGCTCTGATATCATATTTTCTAGTAAACTAACATCAATGTAAATGACTCGCGGGTTCGAAAATGAGAGAACCTCGCTCGCAGCCTCATAAGTAAATATGACACATCTTTTTCCCGATTTTTTTCGTCTTCCAACGGACACGCATATCCGTGTCCTTTTGAAATTAAATAGTATTTTAATTGGATACGGCTTTGACGTATCCAACACATATCGGTGCCGTATCGGATGCGTATTGTGTCTGACACGTATTCGATACAACACGCCTTCATAAATAGGTGTATCGGTGCAGCATAGGACAAAAGCATGAAATCTAGGTGAAAACCCTTTAGAAGTCATGAAATCAAAGATTTGGTGATTGGTGCTTGAGCCCAACTCTTATTTATGGCAATAGACAATGGGGATCAATATCATCTATTGATTAAATCTCAACCATTTATTCTTTATTAATCTTTGAAGTAGTTTGAGTTCTTGAGTGTGCCAGAGATATGTCCATCACTCCTCTTCTTGAATTTCTTTCCCTCCTTGCATAGACACAAATCTCATTTTGCATAGATTACATGTATTGATAAGGCGATGAGGGAGTTTTGTGGTTCTGGTTTTAATAGGGTTGAATTTATTGATAAGGCGACGAACAATTTATAGCATTGGTGGAGCTTTAGTAGGTAGAATGGGGGCAATGAGGAATGTTCATTGTTTATGAATTTGTTGAAAGAGAGAGAGGATGATCAAATAAGCTTAAACCTTTAAATTCTAGTTCTCAACTTTTCTCCTCATGAATTTTGGGTTTGGAGTAAGTTTGGTCTTTAAGAAAAGTTAAATCCATGGAATTATATTTTTTTATTGATTGGGGGATAACAACATTTATACCTTTTTTTATTTGGGATGTATCCAATAATGATGCTCTTGATAAACTTTGAGCTTAATCTTTTCTAATGCTGAGAATGAAGGTTGAAGAACCAAAGATTTTTCAGTCAACAAAAGAAAAGTTTGAAATTTAAAGAGAAGTTTTGGATACAGATTTGAAATTTAAGCACTCTTGATGATATTCTATTAACTAGATGTGCAGTTTTTAGGATAGCTTCTTGTTAGAGATTAGGAACATTTGTGGAGAGGATTACTGATCTAGCCACTTTGAAGAGGTCTAGAGGTTTATTTTTTCTTTCAGCAACCCCATTTATTAGAGGTTTGGTGTTTAATTCCTAGATATGGGAGATAATTTCCTATGACTAATTTGAAAGATATCTGGCATTGTTTGTTTTTAGGATTTGAATTTTGAATTTGAACTGAATTTAGGGGTGGATATGGTATTGAAATGCTTAAAAAATTGTCCCGCTTCAAATTTTTCTTTCATGAAGGATACCCAAGTAAGACTAGTAAGATTGTCGATGATGAAAATAAACCATCTAGCTCAAGAGATTGTTTTGACTTTACATGGTCGCCACACATCAATGTTGAGTAAAATAAAAGGTTAGGAAGGTTTGTGGGTGTAATCGAGATAGGAGTTATGCATTTGTTTAACCATATGACAAATTTTACACAGTTTTCTAAATTTTTGTTGGTGAACAAAGAGGAAATTAATATTTAAAGGTAAGTTTGGAGTCCGAAGTTACAATGCTAAAGTCAAACATAATTATCATTATTTTAAAGTGAGTTTGTTATTTGAAGTGGCTGATTTGGGTTTTTGAACATTATGTGAAATACATTAACTAAAAATTATCATACATAGTCATAGGACCCAAAATTATTGCTCTTTGGTTTGGTTGGCATCTCTTTCCAGAATCACAGTGAAATAAAAATAATAATATTTTAGGTGCTGGATGTGTTGACATCTAGAGCCTTGGTGAAAAATGTTTTATATGCTGGATATCAACTAGAATCCGAATCAATATACTTTAAGTAGATTTAGTTTGTCTTTGTATTGACTAATTCATATGTTCACGTTTAGGAGTGAGCGTTGAGATTTGATAGAGGTTGGTAAAAAAGTGCACTGGGTATTGTTTTTTACTTACATTAGGAAATTGAAATCTATGGTTTCTGAATATTCATGCCTTGTCAACATGTTATTGGTTTGCTTGGTCCAGCGCTTATGCAGTGTATGTTTGCCTACATGATACATGCTAGATAATTGGGAGTTTTAGGTTTTATGGTGAGTTGAAGTAGGATTTTATTGTTTGAATGCTCAATTAATTGATCGCCTTTGACATGAGAGATTGGGCAACATTTTTTGAGCTATTTTTATTTATTTTGCTTATTTTTAGTAGTATTTTTAAAGCTTGAAATAAGGGTATTAAAGTTACTGTGTATCCTCAGTTTTATCATATCGTATTGCATTTTTTTTGTTCCATCTTCCTGTGCATGGTATCCTTCCTATAAAGGAGAAAGGTTTCTCTGAAGCACTAAACAAAAGAACAAAATTTGTAAGTTTCTGCATGTGAGTGATTACATATTATCCTATTATTTGGCAAATTAAGTACTTAAAATCTGTTATCTCTTGTTAGATGTTCTTCAACTCGCTAGAATATGTTATTTTCGTCAAAATTTATTTGTTGAGCTTTTTCAACTTTTGCTATTTTCAGGGAAGAAAAATGTCCAAGACATTGGGAAATGTTATAGATCCAATAGATATCATAAATGAATATGGCACAGATGCCTTACGATTCACACTTTCTCTTGGATCAGCTGGCCAGGTAATTTCGGTTTTGGAGTTGCAACAAAGTATGATCGGTCTTAAATTCTTTTTCTTTTACTTGCATGCTTTCAGGACCTTAACCTGTCCACTGACAGATTGACTTCTAACAAAGCTTTCACCAACAAGCTATGGAATGCTGGAAAATTTATTTTGCAGAATTTGCCGTGTGAAAGAGATGGCTCTAAACTAGTAGATATACTGACTTATAAGGTTCGTAAACCCTTTTTCTGATAAGGTGGCATTCTATCAGTTAGTATAAATGATGTGGATAATCACTGGAAAGGAAGCCATTTGCATGCTGCGTGCCTTTGAGATTTTTTCTTTATTCTACCTGTATTTTTTTGCTTGAGTGTATTCATCCTATAGATAGATTAGTGTATGATCTTTAAGCCCTTCCAACATAAATGATCTGTGGGCTCGGGGGGGGGGGGGGGGGGGGTGGGGGGGGGGGGGGGGGGGGGGGGGGGGGGGGGGGGGGGGGGGGGGGGGGGGGGGGGTTAAGACACTACCCATAGATTTCGCCCTCATTTTGCGAGGACTTTATGATCTGAGTTCTGGTTTCCTATAGGCACAATCCCCTATAGTTAATTACCCCTCCCGTTCACAAGAGAGAACTTTCGATTAAGGCTAGTCGTCAATCAGATACGTAGAGAATACGCGTTAGCATGGGCATAGGTATTTGAAAAGTTCGGGTGTTTGGAATTTGGGTTGGAAGGTTTGATATTTAAAATGAAAATTTCACCATCTTGCACTTAAAGTGGATGGTGGGGGAATGGATGGACTCGATTAAGATCCCATGGTTCCGTCATCTCGGGCCATCATGGACCCTGGTCTACTTAGTCAGAGGAGGTAGTCGACTCAACCTGACAGAAGGATCCTTGTCGGCAGCCATGGGTTGCTTCATCCAAGGGGATCTTGTAGACTTGAGATGGATGTTTACCTAAGGGGACAAATTTGAATCCACCTTAGCTAACAGAGGGCTTTATGCCTATCAATTATATCCTATTGATTCATATCTCAATGATTTGATGCCACTAAGGAGCGTATTGGCTCTGGCCATAACCGGTATTTCGTGGTGCCATTTGACGGCAAAACCACCTGGTTCAGAAGGCCCCGGGTCATAACCGTTTATCCTTCCGTGCCATTTGGCGGAAAAACCGTTCGTCAAAGGACACATACCACGTCCTTATTGGCAGTAGATTTTTTGAGAATGGATCCTAGTGATATTTTCGACTAGGCATTAACTCTACGTGAGCTGAAGTAAATTTTAATTTATCTACCCCGAGAAACTGTTGCAGATTGTGGATGGATTTTGCTTTAAGTGATTAATAGATAAATTTTTATTTTGAACATCTTGGAGTTTGAGAATTTGGATTTTGGTTACTTGGGTGACATCTAATATATTTTGTGGACCCCTCCGGTTGAGATTTATATTGAACACGGCCATCATCAGGGTGTACGGGATTATTTCCCTTTATTGATTGAACCGTGTCGACCCATAAATTTGTTGATAGGGGATCGGGTTTCGTAGGCTTTGTGCCTTTATTAGTGAATTCATATTATTGTAGGCCTTGAAGGCCTAATTTGAATGTATTAAGACAAATATACAGGTCATCGCGATCGTATATTTGTTTGATGGTTCGAACCCTTTCGACTCCTATCGATCCGCATAGAAGGATCGAGTTCGAACTTGAATTCACTTATTGACCAATGCAGTATCCCTAGACATCACGTGTGTACCAATAACACGCTCATCGGGGCCCATACGGGTGTTTGGAGGCATTTTATAATTATTTGTTGAACATTGTCGACTCTATCTACCTGCTTAGGAGGATCGTGTTCAACTTTATCAACCCGTGTAGTATCCCTAGACGTCATGTGTGTACCCATAACATGTTAATCGGGGCCCATGCGGGTTTTTTGTTATATTAACCCCTTGTGTACCTGCGTGTATACAAACTACGGTGTATGTACGGGGATATTTTGCAATATTTATAAACACCTTATGTCCGCTTGTATAAATGTTGCGGATCCGGTGGCGTGTTGTAGCAGCTTCTGGATAAGTTGTTTGCTGCTTTGTACAGGTAGACTGTCATGCACCACTTGTTGCTTTCTGCAGGTGGATTGTAGTGCACTAGCGAATCTCTTGCTTTAACACGTAGGAACTTGCATTCACTGTAATTCTCTTGTACTCGCTCACATATAAGCTCTTATATGTGTGATGACTTTCCCACAGTAACTCATAGAAGCTTTCTTTTGATGTAATCTTTTGGCATTCTACTCATAGATGACATCTGGTTTATATGACGAGTTTTCCACAGCAGTCCATTGGAGCTTGCATTTTGCTATATGTCATGTCTTCACTCGTAACCTCCTTCTCACATTTATAGGTGGGTTATACATTTTGTTGCAATTCTCTTATAGACATTCATAGGCGAACTGTCGTATTTATCGTAGACTCCTTTTAATTGTTCGTAGATAACTGCATTCCCTAGAGATCTCTTTTATTCGTAGATAACTGCATTATAAATCAATCTTGTATTTACTTCATTTGAGTACAAATTGGATCATCATTAATTATCTTTCTTTTAATATTCAAGTTCATTTAGAGTTTGAGTTCACTTAAGTCACTTTTTTTTGTTCAACCAAGCTTAAGTCCAAATCTTTATTCGTTTGATGTTCAATCAAGTCTCAAATTTAGTTGTATATTCACCCGAAATTTCGGCAGCCTCCCGACGTCTCCCCCGTTTAGGGGAAAACTACGAAAAACTGGGCCTCCCGCCACGCTAGAAAAAAGCGTGTACGGTAGGTGCCCTCGGACGAGGACACCGCGACCATGAAATCTTCAAACCCCACCATGCCAGAGAAAGGTGTGTATGGGTCTTTAGTACCTGTTGCAAGAAAAACACAGTCATTTCTCGGCGAGCGGGTACTTATGAATATCCTCATCTCGCCGTAGGCGTCGCACCGGGTTCCCATCCCACCACGCTAGAGAAAAACGTGTATAGGCGATTTTTCGGTGCGCCACGAACGCCAAAAAGAGGTTTTAGATGATTGCTAGCCCCATCGTAGGCGCCGCACCGGGTTCCCTTCCCACCACGCTAAGAAAAGCCTGTATGGGCGGTTTGCCGGTGCGCCGCGAACGCCGAAATGAGAATCTGAGTTGGAAATTCATACCTTCACGATGGTTGACGACGATGATGAGATGCACAAAAATCTCTCTTTTTTTTTAAACTTTTTTTTTTTATTTTCTCTCTTTTTTTGGAAATAATTTCACACTTTTTTTTAATCTTTTTTTTTTCTCTCCCCCTTTTTTTTTCTTCTTTTTTTTTTGAAACTCCATACACCTCTTTTTGTTACAAACATATACATGATATAATACTATTAACATGATATAATACTATTAACATGGTATCTAGTAACATTAATCTTAATCAGTAAAAAAAAACTAACTTTGGCTAACAACAAATTCTAACTAAATGCCAAACAGCAAATGGACTTTGGAATAAATACTATCTAAATACTTTGTGGGAGACTCTACACAACAACAATGGAACATGAAGTTGCAACACCCACACTTTCCTACCAAATCCTATATTGAAGTAGTCATTAGAACATTTTCACAAACACCTTGTGGGCAAACCTACTTGCATGCTACTATTGGATTATTTCCATAGGATTTTCACATTTACCTGAAGCTATGACTTTGCTCATTATCACCCATACACACATTTTTTATTATCTCTTTATCATCATTTTTTAAAAAACAAATATAAATATGAACATGTATCCATGAATAAGCAAGCACATCTCCTTTTCAACAAAAGAGGAACTTAAATTACTGCAATGATATCATAGATAAAAAAAGAAATAAAACAAAGGAAAAGTTTAAGGGAACCAGAGTCGTGGACTTGTTATTAATTGCCAAGGATTAGAGCAGTTTTGATATTGGTTCTGACGTGGGATGGAAAAGATGAAATAGGTTTCACGTGAAAGTGAATGGGAGTAGCAGCTTTTTTTTATAGAGCTTTAAAGGGGCTGGTTGATTCAGCTTGTGAGGGAAAATCAGAGAAAACGAGCTCAGCATAGGAATCGGCACAACAAAGGAGAGGAGAAGGCGTTGGTTGGGTTGTGGCCTTGACACGGAATAAACTTGAAGTCTGACGGGAGGGAGCTTTTGGTTTGGGATCGGACGGTGATTTGAGAAGTCTATCGCAACAAGGAGTAAAGACGGAAGGGTGGAGGAGATAAAACCGGGAGAGATGGGACTGGTTCGGACGTCGGCTTAAGGGCGTGCAGTTTGGAAACGAGTTCAGAAGACTATAGACGGAGGGAAGCTTGAAGGGAACACTGTAAGCAGGAGCTCAATTCGTGGGAACCAATCGAAGAGCTCGTTCTATTTTTATTTAACGACGAAGGCTTCATTCAAAGCAAGGTGAAACGTCTGTCCGAGGTTTCCGTTCAAACGGATATCCAGGATTTAGAGCAGGAGATTTGAAGAGATACGAGGTAAGATTAATGAGATTTTGACATTTCTTTTGACTTCTATATATATATATATGTATATATATATATATATATGATTAAACTGGCAATGACATTAACATTTCGTTGCCTTCAATCGTCCCTCTGAAATGATTAATAATGCATCAATCAACTAAGTTTATTTTGAATTGCATGCAATTCTTGATCTATGTGCATTCTGCCTCGGAATTCGTGTGTATTTCGTCTTGTAATGCATGTCAAATTTGTCGAATATAGACATTAGATGAAATGGTAGTGCATTTAGGGTATTGACGATGTCCTGATCACAACGACGTGGTCTATTTCGTGATCGGACATCACTTCGCCGCCGTTGAGGCTAATTTCCCTCGTAATGCGCGCCGTTTCATCATATTCAAATCGCTTCAAGATTTACACCACCACCTCAGATGATCCAAATTGATTAAATAAAATATGTACTCTGAATGTTGGTGACATTTCGAATGCAACGTAGCTGTCTGTTTCATGATCGGACGTCATGTCGTCTCTGTATAGGCAAATTTCCTTTATATGCGTGCCTTCACATCATATTTAAATCACCTCGAGATTTACACCACCACCTCAGAAGATCCAAATTGACGTTCCGGATGCAATGGCGCTGTTCGTTTCATGATCGAACGTCATTTCGTCTCCGTAGTGACAAATTTCCTTGATATGCATGCCTTCGCATCATATTTGAATCGCCTCAAGATTCGCACCACCACCTTAGATGATCCAAATTGGTTAAATAAAATGTATATTCTTAATGTTGGTGACGTTCCGGACACAACGACGAGTCCCTTTGTCAATCCGGGCATCATTTGGATGACGTCGAGGCCAATTTTCTCAGATATGTGCGCTTTGTCTCGATGTTCGTACCGACCCCTTGCATGCCCCTTGATTTGTTAAGTTGAATGTTGTCATTAGATCTTCTAAGATATTTGGGATGTTCCAATCGCATTGACACAGTCCGTTTTGCGATCGGATTTTGTTTGGGCAACCTCGAGGCCTCTCTCCTTGATATGCATGTTTTGCCTCAAAATTCGTTTCACCACTACGGATGATCCAAATTGAATATAGAAAATGTTGTTCTTAAGTATTTGCATTATTCCGCTAGCAATGGAGAAATCCGTTTCGTGAACAGACATCATTTGGACAGCGACGAGGTCAATTTTCCTCGAAATTTTTGCATTGCCTCGATATCCGTGCCACCAATATGGATGCTTTAAATTGATTAATCAAAATGCAGTTTTCAGAGGTCGACAATTTTCCGGGCGCAATGGCGAAGTCTGTTTGTCGATCTGACATCGTTTGATCAGTCTCAGGCTTTAATTTCGAGTGTCGGTCGTCCCTTTTAATTGATCTCATCTGATTCAATTGCGAGGGGCCTTGACCCACTAGAATTCAGTGTCCTTATCACAACGATACCATCTGTTTGGCATTCGGAGGTCATTTGACTCCTTAAGTGATGCATTTCGTCAATGCACGCATTGCCTAAATCATCTTTTTCACCTCTTTTCGTATTGTTTTATGTGTAGGGGTCAACATGATCATCTTAATCTTATCTACTTATTTGCATAGTAATAAATAAACATTAAATGAAATAATATAAACAATTTACTATTGTTAAAAAATGAAAATAAATCGTCTGACTAAATTCCTAGCAGTTTAGTGCATATAGTTGAATATTTGATAAAGTTGATCCATTTTTGAGTTATTAAAATTACTTAAAATATGACATAATTTGGGTGTTTCTTATAATTAGTCATATAGGATTTTAGAGAGCCAATGTCATATTATACTTTTTCTTTTAACTTTTAAGAATTGTTAGTTGAAATGTTAAACAATTTATTATTTGTGAATGGTACAGTGGCCTTTGATTGGCAAATGATAGCGGTAGGTCATTAATCTTCTATTTAATTAGCTATTGGGTTTATGTGCTTCATTTGATGTGCATCTTAGGAAAATCCCGAGGATGTTTTAGGAGAGCTTTATATTAACAGGTTAATGCTATGGATTTTTAATTATGTGTGTTTTATTCTCATTAAGGGGTTGTTTGGTTTGCTGAAAAATGAATGTAGAATAAGGGTGGTTTGGTTTGCTTAAAAAGAATATAAAGTAAAAAGATATAATGCAAAAGAAATGTGGTGTATTTGAAATATTTTGGAATTGTTTGGTTATTTGTAAAACAAATGTGGGAGATTTTTTTTTTTTTGTTTGTTTGAAGTGAAATGGGTGTAAGGCTGGGCAATGATAGGTGACAATGGTGGTACTTGGTGGCATCGGCGATGGTGAGGGGGAGGGAGCTGGCTACGGTGGCGAGCAACAAAGAAATTATAGTATATTTGAAAATCGGACGATTTTGGAAGATGCCAAAAATGAACTACTAGGTGAATTCTAAATTCACCTATGAAATACTTTGCATTTGAAATTCATCTTGTCAAGTGATAGTGAGCCTGAAGGGGATTGTCTTTGCAAATAAGTTTGAGTTGTTAAATTGTGAACATTTATAGGATTAGGCTCAAAATCCTGCAGTATTAAGAAATAAGGAGGGTATTTTTAGAGAGAGAGAGAGAGAGAGAGAGAGAGAGGAGGGGCTTTAATTTTTTCCTTATGCATGAAATTATATACATCATGTTATAATGAAGTGTGGTTTACTCACTACGTGCATTTATGCATGCTTAAATGTTTTCCGATTCAAATTGAATTAAAACACATTGGAGCATTACTCTTTTTGCTTTTTCAAGATATTAGAAATTTTTAAATTTGTTCAAAGGCCTTATTGCAAACTGAATCTTTGTGTTTTTGAGTTAGATGTTTGCATTTGTAGCCTCAGGCTTGGATGCTTTACTTGATTTCATGATTTTTTTATAATTGACTCATTAATTTCCCTTGTTCAGTTTGACACACAGGAATCCCTTATGAATCTACCTCTACCAGAATCCTGGGTGGTAAATCTTTTTCAGATTTTTCTAACCCCAAGTGTTCTATTGTATTTGATTTACTAAAGCTTTATTATTTGTTCAGGTGTCAGAACTGCATAGTCTCATTGATAGTGTCACTTCTAGCTATGAGAAATTTTTCTTTGGAGATGCTGGTAGAGAAATATATGATTTTTTCTGGGGTGCTTTTGCTGACTGGTATGTATGGCAGTTTTTTCCTAATTATATATATACTGAGTATGATTTTTCTGGCTGTAATTTTGTAATACATTTCATTTTATTTTTGCATTTTTTGGAGGTTGTTGTCAACTTCATATATTCCTTAACAAGAAAAAGGCCAAAATGGCCCCTCAACTATTTGTGAGGGACCAAAATGGTCTCCAACTCTTTTGAGGGACCAAATTGGTCTCCCCCATTAAAATGAGACATTTTTTGTTCTAACATCGAATGTTGGAGTTAATTGTGTTAAATGTAAGGGTATTTTGATCATTGTTAATTAAATATAATTTTCAAGTAATTATAATTTTTCTAATAAAAATTTTTAAATGTTTCTTTGAGAAAAAAAATTAATAATAATTTTATTTTTAATTTAAAAAATTATAGTCATATTTTATAAGATATGTTTGGAAAAAATATGTGTGACTAAGTTGAAAATAACATATATTTGTATTTGATTTCTCTAAATTAATAAATATCATATGTAGATCCAAAATACCAAATTATAATTACTTGAAAGTTACATTTAATAAATATTTAATAAAAATAACCTAAATACTCATACATTTAACACTATTAACTCCAACATTGGATGTTAGGACAAAAAAAGTCTCATTTTAAAGAGTTAAGGGACCAAAATGATACCTCAAAAGAGTTGAGGGATTATTTTGATCCTTTTCTCATTCCTTAAATAGTACTTCTTTTTGTTCATTTTATTATTTTGACCAATGTTTAAAATTGCGTATTTGGGTATTGAGGCGTTTTTCATTCGTGAGGCTAGGCGTAAGTCTCAATGCGTTTTGAGGCGTAAGCCTCAAAATCAAAAGATTGCGTAAACATAAAATGATAAATTTTTTAAATACTAATGAGTGAATAATATAAAACATAAAAAAGCATAAGATATGAAGTGAAATCAAAATATCTCAATAATAAGACAACATGAAATATAGTTCAGCTGAAAATTCTATCTTTCCCAAATCCCAATATTCTTTTCATTAACATATAATTCCAATTTCTAAAAATAAATAGCAATGACATATGACATAAGAACTCATAAATCATCAGCACTGTCATCACTAAGGGGTTCTTCATTTGAATCATCATTATGATGAACTACTCTCTCCCCTTCCTCCTCTCCTATAGAGTCCAATGTTGGGCATTTATTTCAAGATTTATGTAAGTTTTAATATATATAGCGTGAGGCGTAAGCCTCATGCCAGTGAGGCGAGGCGGGCCTCAACCAAGTTGAGGCGCAAGCCTCATAACAAAAACTCGAGGCATAAGCATTGAGGCGTTTTTTACTGGAATTGCGCAAAGGCGAGCCTCATATTGCGCAATTTTAAACCATGATTTTGACTATATGGAAGCATTTTTCTACGATGCACTTTATGTTGAATTGAAATGGAATATTTGAGCTTGTCATTTGGCTTTGCTCTTCAATATTGGTTAAATGATGTACCAATCTTGTACTTGAGGATGGAAACCTTTTTTTTTCCTCCTCTCAAAACCCGTAGTTTAACTGCACGCTGCATTTACATCTCATCTTTTGAAAACTTGAAGGGACCGGTTTGTGCTTCAATGTCCAGATTTCCCTCATTGCAATACAGTGGCTATGACCCTATCAGTATGAATCGAGAAGCAGTCTCTCTGCTATAAAGTAGTAAAACTTTATTCATTCCTTGGAGAGGCAAGAATTTCATGCACCTCTATACCCATTTGGAAACATTTCAGTGTTCTTTAGGAACACATTAAATTGGAATGAAATGTGAGTGGGTAGTCGATTCTTGCCAATGGATATTATTCAAAGCAAGAATTTTTGGAATAGAGACAACAGCATGTTTATATGTGAAAAAAAAAAAAAAAAAAAAAAAACAGTAAGGCTTACATAAACATACAGAATTAACTTCCTCCTCTCCATCTTTAATTTTTCAGGACTAAGATGGTCAATGATTAATCTGACTTGTGTTCATAATTATGTAGCACATGTACTGTGTTTCCAGCTTTATTTTAAGTATTCTCTATTTCTGAACGTGCATTTAGATTTTAACTTTTTCTAGGTACATTGAATCTAGCAAAACTCGCCTGTATCACTCTGGAAGTCATTCAGATGCTTCTATGGCACAGTCTGTTCTTCTATATGTCTTTGAAAACATTTTGAAGCTGCTACATCCTTTCATGCCATTTGTCACTGAAGAATTATGGCAGGTAATGTGTTCTCTCTTACTAATTTTCTTGCATTTGAGTATTTTGGTTCAGTCTAACACTTCAAGAATCGCAAGGTTCCTGGATTAATTACTGGGGCGCCATTCCTGCTGCCTAATTCTCTCTTTTTGTTTTTTTTTTCTTCTAACTAGTGCAATCTCTTATGGTTATTTCATGGTGAATAAGTTTATGTTTCATCCCGCCATCATTTTTGCTCTCATGAGCACATTGACAATTCCTGTATGAGATCAAAATTGTCACTCTGAACACTTAAAACTCTCAGCTGTTTCTGGTTTTCACTTTTATGACGAAATAGATAAATAAGTGTTCTATCCTGTCCTAGGATTATTAAGTCATTTATTTAACCTTTCACATTTTGGTGAAATGCAAAAACCGTTGTAATCAGTTTAAGTGCTTATCATTATTAGACGATCTACATAAACAGCCCTGAATTCTTCGCTTTTTTTTTTCTTCGCTAAACTTTATTTCAATCCGTTATAATGTGCAATGCTTTTGGTGCTTGGCTTTGCTGATTTATGTAGTTTGCCTGTTTTTCGTGTCTACATGTTTTTATATTTTATGCAGGCTTTACCATTTCGAAAACAAGCTCTTATAGTATCTCAATGGCCTCAGTGTTCACTTCCAAAAAATAACAAATCGGTGAAAAGGTTTGAAAATCTACAATCATTGGTAAGTGTTACAAACGTAAAAGCTATCAACTTTTGTTGTTTTTGGTACTTAATTTTTTTAAAATTTCTTATAAATGGTTTTACCTGCCTGAACCTCCTCATAACAAGATAATTTTATGAACCTTCTGTGGCAGATTAGAGCAATTAGGAATGCAAGAGCTGAATACTCAGTTGAGCCCGCGAAACGCATCTCTGCATTTGTTGTTGGAAACGCTGAGGTCCTTGGTTATGTATCTGTGAGTATCTCTCTTAGGTCTCATTACATTTTTTGGATATGCTGTTGAGGGCAGTCATGTTGGTCATTTCCAAAAAAAACATCAAAGCTCTGCTACGAACCATTTAAGTAGTGACACAAGTTAAATACTATTGAGATTATAATATTATAAGAATATTAAATATCTTGGGAAAAGGGTAGTGAGCAAAATAAAAATTAAAACTTTTGATTATTTATATGATAGTTTTGAGACCAAGTGATATGGGTATTATATCAAACAGGGGATCAAACAAATCGCCTTTGATCATAATTTGGGCATCAGGGTGTGAAAAAACCGTAGAGATCCTATTCATTGAAGCTTTAATGGTTTGATTTTTCTAGAAAAAAATTTTATGACCATGATTCTCAGATCACACTATTTAGATGGAATAGGATGTCACTAGGAATTCATAGACATGATTAGTTCATCAATTGGTCATCATATTAAATATATCAAGACTCTAGAAGCTTGACCATAGAAATTGGATTATATAAATAAGGGTTGAATTTTAAATGAAATCTTATGCTGTCTTAATCCCAAGTTAAATGCTTTTTAAAATTTAGACCTAAACTTAACCAAAGTATATAATTTAAACTCTAAGATAAACCAATTAAAGATAATAGAAAATCAGCTAGAATTAAATTTGATTCTAGAGAAGTTTAAAATGAATTTGATTCAGCTTCTTTATGGTCCAATTCATCTCCTTTTGGTTATCTTATGTAAGTTTAAAATTTTTTTAGGCTGAAATGATTTATCTTTGTAGCATCAATTCACTTGATCAGCAAAAAATCCTTCTTCTAAAAGTTTGGTGGAGGCTAGGGAGGAGGAAAGTGGCATTGATGGGTCGTTTAATGGGAAAAAGTGACATGTAATGGAAGGTGCATAAGGACTATTGAATCCATAAAGCAACATATTTGGAGGTTTAGGTAAACGATGATTTAGAAGGAAACATATTTAGCTAACGAAAAAGCTTTTAAAAAGTAGCATTGGTGGTAAAATGTTTGTATAGATATTACACCTCTAAGATTTTGGTAATGTGGACCGTCAATGAATTTGGAGATAATGATAGAAGCATTAATACAAATTAATTTTTGATGGATGTAGCTGAAGCAAATTATAACTGTCTAAAGTAATAGGCATATTGTTTGGAGCAAGATTTTTAACTAAATCTGCAAGAGGTAGTCTTTTATTTAACAACATTCTTAGGCTCAAACACCTTATTGGGCAAAATGCTCTATTTTTATTATAGATAATATTTCATAATCAATCTTAGGCATTGTACATATCTCAGGTGTTGGTAACTCTTTAGTGTCCTCAAATCTCAGTTCATCATTAGAAAGAAAAGTAGCATAATAAACTACCATCATCAAAAGGAGTAATCATGAATTTTTGGCACATGCTATTGAACTAGAATCAAAAGACTTTGTGGAGCTTGTGCATTGGATTTTATGGAAATTGAAAGTACATTTATTTTGTTGGATTTTCACGTAATAATCTTATATTTATTAATATCTATTCATGGCTTTTCATCAATTGCATGTGAATATTAGTCATAAACTCATAATTATATGAGTAAGGGTGAGGAAAATTGGAAGGATAGGATTGATGTCTAGTGTACCATTTTCTTGATTATGTGAAAGTGTTAACCTTCTTAATATGTTGTTGTTCATTTCTTATAGCTATATAATGCCATTAAAGCTAGAGAAATTTATGGTGATGGGCAGACATTTTAGAAATTTATAGCAGTGTTGTCCACAATTGAAATGAAGTGGCGATTGTAACAGAAAGGAACTTCAACACATCAACTTTGACTATGACATAGGAAAAGTGGGCTGAAGGGGTGCATTAGCACTTATGACAAGGAGTTAGGGGTCAAATGGTATTTGTGCTCATGGAAGTGTGGCGTGAATTGAGGTTAATTGTAGCAAAATACGTGAAAAGATTGAGGTGTGTGTTATTTGGGAAAAACAGGCTTTTCCTGAGCATGATGTGACCATTGTTGAGGTAGACAGGAAGCGTATTAGAAGGTGATTGACTAAGTATTGCTAGATGGGTGATGATGAATCATGAAGGGTTAAGCGTTACCTGCTTTTACAAGCATGATGTTTACAAGATTTGCGAGTGTCAATAGGAGAAGGTCGTATGTACCTAAATTGTGGGAAGTGTGCAGTAGAGGAGGCAGTTGAACTTGGCTGCTCATGGAGAGGCATGTGAGCATGTCACAAGCGGATGCATGGTTGCGTTGTGATTGAGCACACAAACACAATAGGAGAAGGGCATAGACAGATTCGGAATGTGTTAATTAACGTTGGGTTATGCATGTACTACGTTGCATGGGTTACGGCTTGGCTTGGGCTCAATAGGTTGTGTGGAATGTAATTACGGTTGCCTGTGGGATTAAGTTCATGGAAATGCAGCTTGAAAAGAGTGCCTATGGGATAAGGTTTGTATTTGCTTATGCGGATTCAATACAATAGTTTTGAGATTTGTGATTTGGATGCAATACTCTGAACTTTGACTTTAGTACTAAACTTCGATGAAGAGGGTGGTAAAGAAAATTTTGCTGAGTTTGGAGTGATATGTATACATATCTTGGATCTAGAAAGCTCTTAATTGGTCACTTATTTTTGTTCATTTAATCCATAATAATCAATAATAATTTGCATTATGGACTTTTATTTATAAAAAAAATGGTTACTTAGATAAGCTTTAAAATTTAAATCAAATCTAATCTTATATTGAACCCATGCAAAATCCTATCTAAACTTTTGCCTAAACCTATCCAAAGTAGATAATTAAAAATAATAAAATAAATCAATTGAAAATAATAGAAAATTCTATCATAATAAATATGATGTTAAAAAGAGTTGAAAATTGGTTTGGTTCATCTTTTTAATATCTTAATTTGACAATTTTTGTTGTTAGCCTATTTAATTTTGTACTTTTTGGGATAAAATGGTTGATTTGTACATCACTAGGTGTGGTAAGCTTAAGTGTCTTTGATTCATTATTTCATAAAAATGACGAAACAGTATGGCAAAACTTTTGTGGTTAAAGTTTAGAAATTTCTCAAGAGTATCATATGATAAGATGATATTATGGAAACTTAAATTCAATTTTTTTTTAAAATTGTAATTAGGTTGATTAGGTTGTATGGATTGAGTATTATTAAAAATTCATTGATAGCTGAGTTTAATATTTAAGTGTGATGATGGTGAGAATGTTAAGATAGATATGTAGTAAAAGTAGAAGGATAAATTAAGAAATGATTATATTAGACAAATGAGTAGAGTGCATCTATTAGAGATAAGGTAATCAAAAGTACACCCATTAGATTGGCAAATAAAATTTGTTGTAAGGGATTAGAAAGAAAAATGAGCAATGCCAAGATAACAATTCGGAGGAATTAAAATTATTAGAATAAAGTCTAAGTATATGATTTGCAATGTTTTGTTGGTGTAATATTAGCACTTAGCGGTCATTGTTACTAGCAGCTAACATTTTATATATGTGTGAGAAATGTAAATATCTTGAATTTATTATGAGTATATAACTTTCAGACTTTATGCTAAATAGTTAAAATAGAGACATTCTAAGGGTATTATATGATAGAAGGATATCATGGAGATTTAAAATTAAGTTTAATACAATTATAATTGGGCGAGTTATGCTATATTGATCAGAGTGTTGGGTAGGTTAAATGCTAGCGATAGTTAAGTATGAGAGGAATAAGAATATTAAGATACATGTGTGATGATGTCATACCTCATTTTGACCCTTTTCAATCAACCTGGAGTGTAACAGATAGGAAGAATCTGGATAGACTTATCTTTAACTATCACCACTCACCATGACTTAGTTCTGTCAGGATCAAGTGAGTAGGAAATAATCTATTTGAATTATCCCAACAAAATACATTTTTTCCAGTCTTAGGATTCTATCTTAATATTTCATAATTGGAAACATATTCAAAACACATTAAATAAAATACAAAGTTTTAATAAACTTTCAAATAAAGTTTATATACCCAAAAGTCTGATTATACAACTTCATACTCTAGTTTTTATGCACAACAAAAATGTATGTACACAAAAATGCAGTGAACTTTCTGCCTAGAGTCCCACGGGCTCATTCCATTTTCTTACAGTACAACCACTGTTAATGAGCTAAAGCTCAATGAAATACACAATCATAATACGAGAAATAAGAATTATATAATTTGCAGTCAATTGTAAATTATATTAGGCTTTCTATAAGAATTATAAGCTGCATAAGAAATCAATGCATAACGATGCTAATCACTGTATGTATTTTTTAACTTTCACATTTAGTATTTGTGGGCTACGAAAATTCGGCCTCGGCCTCCGCTCGCTTTTCTTATTCGGCGAGGGAGTTTTAACGAACTAAGTTCCGAGGTAAATTTTGGAAGGCAGATGGGTTTGTAGATAAGACACTACCCAGAGATTTCGCCCTCATTTTGTGAGGACTTTATGATCTGAGTTATGGTTTCCTATAGGCGCAAGCCCCTATAGTTAATTACCCCTCCCGATCACGAGAGAGAACTTTCGATTAAGGCTAGTCGTCAATCAGATACGTAGAATATACGTGTTATCTGGCATATAGTAGCAGCAATGGGCTTGGGAATTGGTAGAAATTAGATTTGGAAATTGGAAATTTGGACATTTTGCTATTTAAAATAGAAATTGCACCATCTAGCACTTAAAGCGGATGGTGGGGGAATGGATGATAGACCCGATCAAGATCCCATGGTTCCGTCATCCCGGGCCATCGTGGTCCCTGGTCTACTTAGTCAGAGGAGGTAGTCGACCCAACCTGACAGAAGGATCCTTGTCGGCAGCCATGGGTTGCTTCGTCCAAGGGAACCTTATAGACCGGGGTTGAATGTTTGTCTAAGGGGACAAATTTAAATCCACCTTAGCTAACAGAGGGCTTTGTACCCCGTCAATTATATCCTATTGATTCATATCTCAAGGATTTAACGCCATTAAGGAGCGTATTGGCTCTGGCCATAACCGCTATCTGTGGTGCCATTTGGCGGCAAAACCACTCGGTTCAGAGGGCCCCGGGTCATAACCGTTTACCTGCAGTGCCATTTGGCGGCGAAACTGCCGGTTAGAGGACACGTACCACGTCCTTACTAGCAAGAGATTATTTGAGAATG